ACAAGTTTAAGGAGACAGAAGTGCTATGACATCTGTATGGAGGCTGATTGTAGTGGTCACAGAGCTCCTTTCCACGCGGTCCTAAAAATAAATTCAGTAACTTAAAGTAGTCCCAGGAATTTTAGTTTCCTCTTACATTGGAAAATATCTTTTTCAGGGATATAAAAATACTCAAGGTTTTGCAACTGAGGGGTAATGTTCTTCCTGATCACCTGGCTTGACAATTTCACACTCCTAACTCCCCCATGTGCTCAGTTCTCCTTCCCTGTCCCTGCTCAGCGGTCACAGAGCTGTTAGAGGCATGCTCTATTTGGGACAGAGCAAGGGAGGAACCTGGACTTCTCAGGTGGCTCAGTGGTAAAGAATCCACCTGCCAATGCTGGAGATGCAGAGATGTGGGTGCGATCCCTGGGTCAGGAAGACCCCCTGGAGAAGGAAATGGCAACCCACTGCAGTATTCCTGGCTGGGAGATCCCATGGACAGAGGAGCTTGGAGGGCTACTGTCCATGGAGTTGCAAAAGAGTAGGACACAACTGAGAGACTAAACAGCAACAAGGGAGGAAACTGACATTTCTAGAGCATGTCTGTGCACAGACTTCAACCTGCGTCCACAGCCTCTGTGCCACAAAGGGGCAAAAAGCCTGGTTTTAACCTCGTGCCCCTCCATCTGTTGCAAGCAGGCCAGAGGGTACTGAGTACCTACCTGCTGGGGCTGAGAGAGCCCTGAAGCTCACTTCCCCAGAAGAGCTCATCACAAAGCAATATCTGACTGTGTGACACCTTCCGAAGTGGAGAGGTGACCTCTGAGCTCAGCCAAAGAGCAAATCTGATGGGAGCAAAGTCATGGGTTGCCATTCTGCAAGGTCAATTTGTGGTGCTCTGCTTCTCACTTGTGGTTGATGCTCCATCTCAAAATGTTGTGCCAAGGCTTTCAGTGGGAACTGGGACATGGGATGATTCTAGTGGATTCTGTGCCTGTGTGTGAGGAGCTGAAGCTCATTTCTCTGAGTTCCTAGGTGATTTCCTTTTAATCCTCACCAGTGTGTGTGTGTGTGTGTGTGAGAGAGAGAGAGAGAGAGAGAGATGCTTAATCATGTCTGACTCTGAAACCTCATGGACCGTAGCCCACCAGGCTCCTCTGTCCATGGGATTCTCCAGGCAAGAATACTGGAGTGGTTGCCATGCCCTCCTCTAGGGGATCTTCCAGATTTAGGGACTGAACCCTCAAGAACTGTGTATTTTGTCAATTCTAAGACACTCTTTTTTTCTTAGATTATCTCTGAAGGTGGAATGCATCTTATATTCAGTATGTGTGTGTATGTGCTTAGTCATGTCCAACTCTTCACAACCCCATGAACTGCAGCCCTGCCAGGCTCCTCAGTCCATGTGATTTCCCAGGCAAAAATACTGGAATGGGTAGTCATTCTCTGCTCCAGGGGATCTTCCCAATGCAGGGATCGAACCTGGGTCTACTGCTTAAAGGCAGATTCGTTACTGTCTGAGTCAAATCCTCACAGCACACTTATAAGGCACAGTTAGTATATCCAGTTCACAGGTAAAAACTGAGGCTCTAAGAGTTTATGTACCTTTTCCAAAGGAGCAAGAAAGAAAATCCAGGTACCCTCTGACGCCCAAGTCTGCTTTCCCACGGCACCATGCAATTCCCCAAAATAATCTGCCCTAATTCAAAATATTATTCTTTCTATTAATACATGAAGCAAAAAGTGATCACAGATTTCTAGCAGCTGAGAACAAAGAACAGAATTGACAGTAGTCAGTGCTGAATGGTAATTCTGTCTCAGTCTCAATCCTTGAATCTGTTTTCAGTCCATTTGGGAGACATACTTAAGCACGTTCAGAAGAACGGAAATAGGGTTACCTTTGAGGTTGAATTAGCTTTTCTTCTCAACATTGTTGTTGTTCAGCCACTCAGTCATGTCTGACTCTTTGTGACCCCAAGGACTGCAACATGCCAGGTTTCCCTTCACCATTTCCCAGAGCTTGCTCAAACTCATGTCCATTGAGTCATATGATGCCATCCAACCTTCTCATCCTCTGTCATCCCCTTCTCCTCCTGCCTTCAATCTTTCCCCAGCATTAGGGTCTTTTCTAATGAGTCGGCTTTTCACATCAGGTGGTCAAAGTACTGGACATTCAGCTTTAGCATCAGTCTTTCCAATATCCAATCCTGAATATTCAGGATTGATTTTCTTTAAAATTTACTGGTTTAATCTCCCTGTAAGCTAAGGGACTCTCAAGAGTCATCTCCAACACTACAGTTCAAAAGCATCAATTTTTCAGTGCTTAGTCTTCTTTATGGTCCAACTCTCACATCCATACATGACTACTAGAAAAACCATATAGACCTTTATCAGCAAAGAAATGACTCTGCTTTTTAATACTCTTCCTAGGTTTGTCACAGCTTTACTTCCAAGAAGCACGCATCTTTTAATTTCATGGCTGCAGTCACCATCTGCAGTGATTTTGGAGCCCAAGAAAATAGTCTGTCACTGTTTCCATTGTTTCCCCATCTATTTGCCATGAAGTGATTATCTCAACATAATCCTGGCTAAATGTCTGGTAAAATTTCCCTCCCCTATTAGTATTTGGGAGGTATTGGGAAGATCTAATCTGATTCTCAGAGGAGTATATCTTTCCAAAACCAACTGGCTGCCTCAGTGTTTGACTTGCTGGAGCCAGCTCACGTTGGCTCTGGTGAACTCGATTGTATTCATCCATTTCCAACTCTGGTGGTTTGCAATCAGCCATAACTGGGAGCAATGATTCCATGGAAATCAGTAAAATATTCAAACCAACACACCCCTCCCCCATTTCTTTTTTCATTTCTGGCAAACTAGTTGTTCAACCTTTATCCTTATAACCCTGTCACTCTTAACCATAGATATCTAGAAATCTGACAGCATAAGTGACACAGAGTATTTCCAGACTAGGCTAGTTTTCCTACGAATATGGTTCTTTGCCATGACCAGAAAAACTGAAAACTGGCCCTAGGCATTATATGTGGAAATATCGCAGATTACTAACTCACCTTGAGCAGAGAGATTTTCCAAAACTGGAAAGAACTCTTGGAAACTCCCTTCAGTATCTTCAGAAGAAGCCAGGAATAGTTACTCTCTTAAGAATATTAAATAGAGCAAGAGGAAAAGGCAGAGGAAGGAAAGACACAGTCATCAAGAGAACCCATTAAAATACTCTCCAAAAATATCCTTAACATTTCATATAAAATCCCAGTGTAGATCATTTGTTTTGTATAAATAAAAGGCTAGGCTCAGGCTATTATGTCAAAGCACCGATGAATGGTAATAGACACCCTGACACTGAGAAATGTATGGGAAGCAGCTGATTTGATCAAAGCTTCAGGACCTGCTCGCCCCATCCCCCAAGGCCACTGCTCTTTGGATTTTCATGTTCCGGGTCCAAAAACATAATTATGACTCAAACACATGGCTGGTAGGGGTGGAACATCATTTTGGAAAACTATTTGGCAGTTTCTAGCATTTTAAAATATTTTATTTGAGAGTAATAAAAGTTGTTTGCATACACAAAGCAGCTTTATTCATACTAGTAGCCCCAAACTAGAAATAATACAAATGTCCAGTAACAGGACATTCGTTGTATACTCATACATTGCAAGACTACTCAACATTTACAAGGAACAAACTCTGAAATAGCATGTGAGTGTGTGCGTTAGTCGCTCAGTTGTGTCCGACTCTTTGGGACCCTATGGACTGTGACTCGCCAGGCTCCTCTGTCCGTGGGGTTTTCCAGGCAAGAATACTGGAGTGGGTTGCCATTCCCTTCTCTAGGGGATCTTCCCAATCCAGGGATTGAACCTGGGTCTCCCACATTGGAGGCAGATTCTTTATCTTTTGAGCCACGAGGGAAAGCCCCCTATGATAGCATATGTGTGTCTTAAAAACAGTAGTTAAGTGAAGTACAAAACAGCACATATTTTATGATTCTGTTTGCATGAGATTTAGAACACGGAAATCCAATCTATGCTGATCAGAAGAGTTATTGTCCCTGGCCTAGGGTTGGAAGGATGGACTGGTAAAGGGTATGACAGAATGTTCTGGGGTGATGGAAATGTTCTAATTCTGGATTGGAGTGGTGATTACAAAGGTATACATAATTGTCAAAATTGACCCAACTATACACTTAGACATGTTATGAGCCCATGAGATGTAAATTAGACCTCTACTGAAATATGAATATGTGTGAAAGTATTAGTCGCTCAGTCATGTCTAACTCTTTGCCACCCTATGGACTGAAGCCTGCCAGGCTCCTAGTCCATGGAAGTCTCCAGGCAAGAATAGAGTGGGTTGCTAATCCCTCCTCCAAGGGATCTTCCCTACCCAGGGACTGAACCTGGGTCTCCTCACTGCAGGGGGATTCTTCACCACCTGAGCCACCAGGGAAGCCCATATCTTTGTATAAAGGTAAATAGACACGCATACGCTTACATTTCTAATCTAATTAAAGGATCTAATGTAATAAGCTCTGCTTCCTTGGGCCCTAGGAGTTTCACACTTTCTGCCCGCCAAAGACATGGACTTTGTGCTTTCAAAGTGTGGATTCAGGCCTCTACATGATGCTGCAAGCTGGAACCTTGTGAAATCACGCCCAGGTCATTTCCCTCAAGCCTGTCGACTTCCCATCTCTGACACAATGCTTCATCTGGGTCATCCCCGCCGAGCCACGGGAGAAAGTTTGGGGCCAGGTTCAGCTTGGCGGGGAATTCCTCTCCCCCGCACACACTTTCCAGCGCAGGGAGGCGGCCGGGTCACAGAGCTCACGGGGCATGAATCAGCCTCCCCTCCAGGCTCCACGAAGGCGCGCTCCGCCCTGTCCCGTCTCTGAGGGCCTCTAACCCTACAAAAGCAGCGGCACCCACCGCGCTGGGAACCAGACCGCCCGGAGGTTGGACGCCGGGCACACTCCTCCCCTCCTCTCGCCGGCACCGTCTGAATTGGACACCATGGACTCGGTTCGCCCCCTCTGGCTGATGCTTCTGTCGCTGCTCCTCGTGGGAACTGCGCTGGGAGATGCCCCGCAGGCGCCGCCAGGTACTCCCCCCCATCAACCCGCGCGTCCAGGGGACCCCTCTTCGCCGTGGCCAGGCGGCAGGGGCTCCGCGGACCCCTACACCCGCGCTCGGTGCCCTACTTTCCCCTAATTCCTGCCGTGCACCGCAAGTTTGCACTTTCTGTCTCTGTAAGGCCCTTCTGCTGGGCTGGGAAGCTGCTGGGACCTAACTCCCCACCCCCACCACCCCGGGGGAAGCCTCTCCCGCCTCCGAGAAGCGGCTGACCTCCTCTGACTCTGGCTCCCCTGCCCCTCCTGCAGGAAATAACGCGGAGATCTGCCTCCTGCCCCTGGACGACGGGCCCTGCCGGGCGCGGATCCCCAGTTACTACTACGACAGGTACACGCAGAGCTGCCGCGAGTTCATGTACGGCGGCTGCGAGGGCAATGCCAACAATTTTGAAACTTTGGAGGCCTGCAACGAAGCGTGCTGGAAGATTGAGAGTAAGTGCTCGCTCCCACGCCCAGGATTCCTGTAAGACAGGCAGAGAAGGGCTAAGTGGGAAATGAGCTTATTTTTCACATCCCATTTTCTATAGTAAGTTTCATCCTTGATTTTCTCAGATATTGTTAGACTTATTGCTTTTCAGTTGACTAAAAGTGATCATGAAACTTTCAACGACAAACATTTCCTCTCCCTTAATTGGCATGTATCATAATTCAGTGTTTGTGCAGACTCCGGAAGGATTTCACCTAAGGCATAAGGATGCAAGAGGTCATGTATTAGGTGCAACATAAGTGCCTGTCTGTATTTATCATTAGTTCTAAACCTATGGTTTTTATGCCTCCTTGAGAGAGCATTTTTCTCTTGTCCACTGTGTAGCAATCTGAAATACTTGCAGTGGCTTTTGTTATTAAAGTCTGAATTTAGCTAATTATAACCTTACTTTTGTCCCTTGATACCCAGAGATCTTGGGTTAGTATAGAGATATAAAAAAATATAGAGATTCACAATGCTGTTTGCAATTTTATTTTAATTATGTTTACTGTCTCTGTGAAGGCCTGTAACAGAACTTGGGGCTCAACTGTTAGAGGAACTGAGCCAGGGAAAAATGTGTATTCCTATGAATAAGTTTGATTAATTTCATATGTAGAAACAATCAGAACACTCTGAGAGAATAATCTTTCCAGTAAGCATGAAAAATTTATCATAGCTGAGTCAGGTCTGGAGACACTGTTAAAAAAACAAAAGCTGAATAGAGTTGTCTCTCATTGTCTGTGCTGACTGGTTCCAAGACCCCAACTCTCCGATGCAACATCTACAGTATTTGCATAGAACCTGTGCACATTCTCCCTTAAACTTTAAATCATCTCTAGATTCCTTACCAGCATAGGACAAATTCAAGCTTTGTTTGTTTGTTTGTTTGTTTTAATGAACTTTCAGGAATTATTTTTTCCTGAATATTTTCTCTCTGGGTTGGTTGAATCTGTGGAATGCTGGACCCAAGGATACAAAATCTTGTTGTAGCTGGACTAATGGGCAATCTTTTGGGCGTTTACTAGCCCAGCACTACATATCATGCCTCCCACTCCCACCACCACTCTACCCCTGGCCACCACCAGTGGTTTCTGAAAATACAGTCAAGTTTTAAAGGAAGAGTAAGACGGCTAATTTTTGACTAACACTGTTTTATGCCCTCCTTTTCCTAGAAGTTCCCAAAATTTGCCGGTTAAAAGTGAATAAGAAGCAGTGTGGGGAGCTCAGAGAACAGTATTTCTTCAATTTAAGTTCTATGACATGTGAAAAGTTCATATCTGGTGGGTGTCACAACAATGAGAACCGGTTCCCGGATGAAGCTACGTGTATGGACTTCTGTGCGCCAAAGAGAGGTAAATACTCTCTTCATTTCTTTATTTAGACTTTAGGACGAAAACATTAATAATTTGATATGAAATTAACCTGGTTTGCATTCTGATGATTTCACATATAATATGATACCAGTCTGCACACTACTGCCCTGTGAGGGAATATTTTTACATGCAAGAGTTGCAAGCTAGAAGTTTAATAACTTGCCAAGTTCTCAGGGCTGGAAAGTGACGAAGCTATGATTCAAGCTTTTACTTCCTCTTCTGTATTGTTTCTTTAGAACTATTTCTCATCTATTTAACTTGCACATAAAATAACTACAGTGTTCATTAATGAATGACACATATGAGATCAGGTGTATATATGAGATAGTGTGACAGAGAGACTTAAGCTGGTGAAACCTGAAATTTTCTAAACTTTTTGTTAGATTTCTGTGTTCTTTAGTAATTACAGATTGTAGCACAAATTGATCTCTCCTCCCCATGGTTTATCTACATAGTCCATGTGATCCCTAAAATGATGGGTTACTTGGGTAGTGGGTAATGTTGGTAGAGACAGTCCTGGAGTTTTCCGTAGGCATGGCAGAGACATGTACACATAGATAAGTTCAACAAACAAGGAAAATTTGCCTTGGCAGTCTCTGATAAAGCTCTGTAGTTATACCGTGTTGAGTATGCAAAATCTTGAATTAATGAGGAGTTGCTTGTTGCTGGTGTTTTCCTAAATTGTTTATGTAAATGTAAGTGTTCCACTGGCTACCTGGGAATTAGATACATGTATTCTTGATTAATAATGGAAGGAGAGCTGATAGAAACATTGAAAATAAAACTACCAACACAAGAGAGTGTGCCAAAGTATGTCACATATTTTCTCTTGAAACACAGCTCATTTTTACCTGACCATATATGTTTTGGGGGCTTAATTTCTTTACACATTCAAATGATACAAGGATATAGCTTGAAATTTTGTCTACTCCGTAAGAATTTATAATTAACAAACTATGTATTTGAAATTTGAGGCACACTTTTTAAATGGCTTAGTATAATATTTTGGATTCAGAAAGAAGCTTCTATGGGATTAGATGTTCTTCAGTTACTTCAGTAATCAGCACAGCTTATTATTTCCAGTATTACTGCATTTCTAATTTTGTTTTCTTTTCCATTAAGCTCCAGCATTTTGCTACAGCCCAAAAGATGAGGGGCTGTGTTCTGCTAATGTCACTCGCTATTATTTTAACCCAAGACACAAAGCCTGTGAGGCCTTCACCTATACTGGCTGTGGAGGGAATAACAATAATTTTGTCAACTTGAAGGACTGCAAACGCACTTGTGTAAAAGGTAATGTTTTGGTTTTTTTTCTTATTCAGTTTTTAAACTAACTTTATACATAATTCATAAACAAAATTATTTTATGTACCCTTTTTACTAATAGCATATTGCCATTTCTAGACTACTTCTACATAAATACCACTTCAGTACTGATCAGTTTTGTCTAAATGCTTACACAGGTTAACTACAGTAAGCAGTAGCTGTGTCTTGATATTTTAAAGGTAGAATGCTATTAACTTAGTGGATAGTCAGTAAAACTGACTTTATACTCATTAAAAGTAAGACAAGGTGGGTTTGTAAGCATGTCAGAAATGGTGATTTATAATGAGCCTACAGACTGAGGACATATGATGTTTATTTTTATTTTGTTGATCTTAGCCTTGAAGAAGGAAAAGAACAAGAAGATGCCAAGACTTCTCTTTGCCAGTAGAAGACTGAAAATTAAGAAGAAGCAATTTTAACCAGCTTCTTTTTTTTTTAATATGTCATCTTGTGAATGTCCTTATGGTTATATCTGAAGGACAACATGGTAACACAGGCAAGCAAATAATTAGTGTTATTCACCAGTTCTTACATGTTACATTTTTTATTTGTGTATTTTTAATACATAAGTAGCTGCTATTCAAATGTGAATCTATTGTTTTAAATATGCTATTCAACTATTTTTTTATGAGGTTAAATTCTTGCTGTGTGTAAGATATAAAAGCAAATATGACTCACTCAAGTTCTTGGGGTTGCCCTCCCTGATTTCAGAAGATGATTGTAACTGAAAAACAAAAGACAATATAATCATATTTTTTAACATATAAGATCATAAAAAGGACCAGCAAATATATTTAATTTTGCATTTAAAAATTAGATTATATTTTAGGCCCAAGGAGACAAGTTTGAAGATTTACCAATTCTTCAAAAAATGTTACAAATGCTAGTATGTAGATCCTGCTAACTTACTTCCATTTCTGTTATGTCATTTAAAAGATAATAAAGTAATATTTTTGACTGAATTAAAAAGCTAATACATTAATTATATCAGAAATGTTCTCCTCGGAGTGGGAAAATTCTCTCTGTTCATCTATCCATCCATCCCCACTCAGCATATGTCGTTAAAATTTTTGTACTGTGTTTATATTATATCAGAGACAATGCATACATTTAATAACTTAAATTCCACTAATAAAATATTTATGATAAATATGATCATTTCATTTAAACAGTTTTTTCCTTCTCTGTAACAAGATTTTTTTAAAAATTCCTACATTTTCTTGGCAAGAGTAATATTTAAAAGTATGCCCCTGATCTGGCAAAAGTATAAGTACGTTTGTGCTATTCTTGAACAATCCTTCTTTTAAAAATCTATCCCAAAGGTATGAGAACAACAAAAAAAATGAAAATGCTATATGCCATGGTTGATGTATTATTTGGAATAACAGAACTGGAAACAAATGAGACAATTATCATTAGGGGGTTGGTTGAAGAAATTACGGATGAAAAGTGAGCAAATTATTTATATGTAAATATCATCTGATCCTCAGAATACATTTAAAAAACCAGGGTCTAGAACAATGTGACTAAATACACATAGACAAGTAATAGAAGATACAAAGATATTATATTAAAAATGGTTACCTATAAGATGAAGGAAGATGTGACTGTACCTTACTATATAGTTTTGATCTTGAACCATGTAAATTTTCGTGTCATGTAAAACTAAAATTTAAAAAAATAAAAAGCATTTTTCTAAAATTCGAAACCAACCAAAACAATTGAATCTAAATTAATATTAAATAATGGCATAACTGTGAAAAGGGTATATGATTATTTTCAGCGACTTTCAAAGCTAGTAATTTGACTATGTATCTTTTGGAAAATATAATCCAAGAGTCAAATAAATTCTGAAAATGCATTTTGTAGTGTTATTTTGAACCTATTATATATAGACTACTATATTATATATTCTATAAAAATGTGTCTCCCACCCTTTCATTGCAAAGTCTTTGGATCAATGACAATCCATCAGTAGTAGGTACAGTTTGCCCAGATCATAGTCACTAAGAGAAACCAGAGGTCTTGAGAGTAATCTGAGTGTAGGCCTGGGACAAGAAATCTGTAAGATGAACCTGGGCCATTTCATTAAAAAAAGCAAGGAAACTATGAAAGCCTAATAAGTCCTATCATAGGAACAGGAGAGTACCATTAGGGAATGAGGCAATATGAGCATCAAAACAAATATTGACCACAATATAGGTAAGTATATGAATATGAATATAACATGAGTTAATCATTACACGCACACACACATGCACCTGCTTGGTGACTCTTGAAGGTTGCTAGAGCACTCTCTCATTACTTTGAAAACTAATGAATTAAGAGAAATAATAAAGGACTTATTCTTATTTAGTCTTAAAAACTAAATAGTGTATGAGAGAAAGTTACTCACAGAGGAATCCCAGCTAATACAGGCAATAACATGTTAGATAACCCTAGTGAAAGTGTGTATCTAGGTAATGATTATATGTGGATGCTGAAACCAGGGCATGAAAGATTGACGGAAACAGTTTCATGGAGCAATGAGACTAATGGATAATTTTAACCTTACTAAAAGTGTGCCAGCACACATTATTCACTTATGGATATCAGGTAACAAGAAATGGACACCCCGTCCAATGAGCTGATCTTGCAGACAGAAGGAGAGAAAAAAAATTAAGCCTAAAGTGAAGCAAGTCTCTAAATCTCATTACCTATCATTGTACTGCCACATTGTAAGGCACACTTGGGAATAAAGGAGCAAGTTCTAAGAGACCAGGGAAAGTCAATCAGCCAAATCCATAATACTGGACATTCTCTAAGACAAATATCCTAGTTTCTCCAACAAACCAAAGACAGGAAAAAGAGGAGGAGGCGGTGCTTTTATAGAGTATGAGATGTAACAACAAAAAAGCATGTCATCAAAAGTTTTCAGTTGAATAAGGCCTGTATTTGGGACTTTTTGATGGTTTCTGAGAACGATTACAGCAGAAGGATCTTGTATGTGTTCTGGGATTGTTGAGTGAGTGATACAGGGTCTTTGTGGGAGACTTGGGGAGTTCCAAGCACTACAGGGAAAACTTGATTTGCTATTCGATGCCTTTAGCCTGGATCATGGACCTGACTTAGCTTACAGCTGCAGTTTTCTATTCAGCAAGGGTCAAAAGTGGACTTTTATACAACTGTTCTAATACTCCAAACCTCTGCAATTTTAATTCAATGAAGTAATAACTAAAGCTGTTGTAGGACGTTCTGCAGTCAAAGGGAAACTCCTTCTTGCCACAATCAGCTTGAAGACATGTCACTATTGTGGTTTCACGAGACAGGCTGATTAAAAGAAATGTCCCGGTCTGTGACATGAAAAAGGAATGGACTAGCTTTTAATATCACATTCACTTACTGAAAAAAATTATGGACTACCACCCATGTATACATACTGTACATGTTCACTCATAGAAACTGCACCTGGAGCCTTTCAGATTCTTGAATCACAGTATCTCCAAAGTGTTAGTCACTCCGTTGTGGCCAACTCTCTGTGACCCCATGGACTGTAGCCCACTGGCTCCTCTGTCCACGGATTCTCAAGGCAAGAACACTGGAGTGGGTAGCCATTCCCTCCTCCAGGAGGTCTTTCCGACCCAGGGATTGAAGCTGGGTCTCCTGCCTTTTAGGCAGATTCTTTACCTACAATCTGAGACACCAGGGAAGTCCCACTATCTCCAAGTGTACATGCTATTTCTGCCAAAAGTCTTGTAGACATTTAGGTAATGAAGTTTTTCAGGGAGGGACTGTCCTTTGGCATGGCCTTCCTTATATTCTAACAGTGCTTGTAGAAGCTTGTCTTTACAAGTGTCGTGTTTCTAAAAAAAAAAAAGAATTGATCTTCAGATAAAAATACAAAAAAAAAATAGAAAAGTGCAAATTGCAAATTTTAAATATTCATTGCCTATATATTCTGTCATAAATTTAGAGATGGAGGCGCTCAAATGCAGAAATCAAAATCATCTAAAGTTATTTCCTCTCCCTTCACTCACATATTCAATTGGTTGCCAGGCATATCTATTCAATCCTATTCTGTGTTGTGTGTGCTCAATCGAGTCTGACTCTTTGCAGCCCCATAGACTGTAGGCTGCCAGGCTCCTCTGTTCATGGGATTCTCCAGGCAAGAATATTGGAGCGGGTTGCCATTTCCTGCTCCAGGGGATCCTCCCAACCCAGTGATTGAACCCATGTCCCTGTTTCTCCTGCATTGGCAGGTGGATTTTTCACTAGTTCCACCAGGGAAGCACATGCCTATTTTAAGCCTCCTTGTTCCAGGAAAATTAAAACATTTCCCCAAGTTTCCTTCCTGTCTTTGTCTGCTCCATACCCAATCATTCACACTAATGCCCAAGAAATATTTATTAAAAAATCTTATCAATTTACTCTTCTGCTCAAAACTCTTCAATGATTTTCTATTGAATCTTCACATTACTGTCCAAGGCCCTGTGTGTCATTTAAGACTTCTTACAAGTAGACCATAGTATTCTCCTCCAGATTGATCTACCCCATTCCACCATCATCTGTAACCTACAATTCAGCTGCACTAAATTATGTTCAGTTTCCAAAACATGTTCTACTGCCTTATTTTTGTATAATATGGTTATCAAATTTTGTGCATTAGAACCATCTGGACAGCCAGGCACTTACGCAGACTTCTAAGCCCCATGTTCAAGTGTTTTGATTTGGTGATTTGAGTTGATACTCAAAAGATGTACATTAAAAACACTGACTCCTCATAAGACAATGAAGACCCAAAGAGATGCAAATTTGTATGTTTTTCTCCTGTTAATCTAAGATCAGTTTAATTCTCAGGTCCAGCCAAAAACTCTAAGAGGGTAAAGCTGAAATTTTACCTTCCCTACGAAAGTGAGGGAGAGATAAAGACTTTCTCAGACAAACAGAAATGATAAACTATGTCAACAGCAGACTTAACTTGCAAGGAATATAAAAGAAGTTCTTCAGAGAAAAGAAAATTACATCAGAAACTCAGATCTACATGAAGAAAGAAGAGCATCAGAGAAGAAATAAATGAAAGCAAAGTAAAAAAAAAAAAAAAAAAAAAAAAAAAACACTGACTCCAAATGATTAGGATGAACAGTTGAATCACACATTGAGGAACACTTGGCAAGTTGAATTGTCTTGTTGGTACAGCTTTTTTGACCCATCTCAAGCAAGTTTAACCACTTGTGCCTTGGGCTTGGCTATACCTAATACGATTCCTAGACACACTAATACAGTATTTATTTTCCTAGGAGTTTCATTGTTAGAGTGTTTGGGTTTTTCAAGCAAAATTAAGAGGATTTTCTTTCATTTTAAAATGTATTATTATACCCACTGTATACTGTATAGAAAATAAAAGAAAAATATAAGGATATATAAACAATCTAGGATTTCA